TCAGGGACTGCACATCCTTCCCACAGATATATGGACCCTGCTCTGGCCTTGATTTGTGAAGGTCTGTCCCATAAGCCAGGAGCTCACCCTCCTGTCGTAGTTTAGGCCCAGATGGCAAGTCAGCACCAAGCAGCCGCTTGTTCACTACCCTCCTGCAGTGGGATGGGGAGGAGAAAATACAAGGAAAGGATTGTGACTCAAGACAAGGACAGGGAGGGATCGCTCACCAGTTATTCCCATGAGGAAAATAGACTTGACTTGGGGAAAAAATCAATTTAGTTAGTTGCCAATCAAAAGCAGAGTGGGAAAATAAGAGACAAGAACAGGTCCTAAAACCCTTTCTCCCCACCCCTCCCTTCTTCCCGAGCTCAGCCTGGCTCTCCATTTCTCTGCCTTCTTCCTGCCAGCAGCACAGGGGGCTGGGGAATGGGGGTTGCAGTCATTCCATCACACTTGTCTGTGCTGACCCTTCTTCCTTAAGGAAGGATCCTCTCATTCTGGCCCTGCTGCAGTGGGGCGACCCTTCCACAGGTGCCATCCTTTAGGAGCAGCCTGCTCCAGCACGGGCTGCCCACAAGGTCACAGCCTCCTTCGGGCATCTCCCTGCTCTGGTGTGGGGCCCTCCCCAGGCTGCAGCGGGGTCTCTGCCCCCCATGACCCTCCATGGCTGCATGGCACAGCCTGCCCTCTCACCACCAGCTGCTAGGGAATCTCTGCTCCCGGCACCTCCTGCTGCCTTCTGCACTGATCCGGGGGTGTGCCTGGGTGTCTCTTCCACATCTCTCTCCTCTCTCCTCACCAGGTCTCTTTGTTTTACCCTCTCACATACTCACAGAGGTGCTAATTGCTTAGCAATGGACAGGAGACCGGTCTGACTTAGAGCCAGGGAAGCTTCCAGCAGCTTCACAGGAGCCACCGCTGCGGCCCCTCCCCACCACCAAAACCACCCAGCACACCACCCCGAATCAAGCTGGGTGCTGTAGAAGGACATTTCTGATGAACCTTGAGTTGATACTGAAGTGGTGCCCACAGCAGCCCTTGTGACAGAGACACAACCGTACCATAGTAGAGGCCAAAGACGGTGGCTGCTGCCGTAAACGAGCCCAGGAACTGGCCGACCAGGTAAGCTGGGAACTTTCTCCAGGGGAGGTTTCCTAAAATGCAGTGTGTGAGGGTGATGGCAGCGTTCAGATGAGCTCCTGCAAAATCACAGCAGAAGAGAGCAGCCTCAGCCCTGATGCAGCTATTTGGGAGCATTCCCCATGACCCACAGTAGCCACCCGAACCTTGCTCCAGGACACCAAGAGTCTCCCAGCGCAGGGTCTCCCTCCTGCAAAGGCTCAAAACAAACGCATTTTCCTTGGGCAGCTGAGTGATGCAGGGCAGAGAGCTCCTAGCTTTAGTCATCTAAAAACTAGACAACCTCTGCTTTACTCTCCGTGGACCACAGTCTGCCTCCCAAGAGTGGATCAGTCATCTCAGCCATCAGACAGACTCCTGGCACAGCACGAGTTCCCCTCTGTATGGGCTTCTCTCTATTCAGCCTAAAGGGAGCCTAGAACTTAGACTCATGACCCACCTTTTGTATGGCTGCAGGTAGATGAGGCCAACCTTATACCAAACAATCACAAAAATCTGATAGACAAGGAGGGCCTGATCCTGGCAAAGCTGAGAGCCCCAGCTCATGGGAGCTATGGGCCCTTAGCACATCTGGCAGGCAAAGCACAAGACACTGAGGAAACAAACTGCAAAATCTACCACTGATGCCTCATATCTTCATGTCTGCAATGAAAATCCTACACAGGGATGACAGCAGAGACTCATATTAGATGTCACTGCATTGAGAAGAGCTTACCAGGATGGTCAATCCTGGCCAGACGGTGGTTGTTCCCACTAGGGTGGAGCAGATCCTGTCCTTTCCTTACAGAATTTGTACCCTTGGCCTGCATTTTCTTACGTCTTTTAGTATGTGGCTTTCACATGGTGCAAGACCAGTTTTTCCTGATTTGAGGGGACACCTTCTGTGGAGGAGATTGCTGTCACAGTGGTGTTTTGGGAGAAAAACAAAGTGGCTCCAAGTTTGGCGCCCTTGGTGCAAACCATGTCTGTTCTCCAGGCCACATCTTCCCACGAGTCCAAAGGAAATAATTGCTTTTTCCTGCCTAGTAGGTGTAAACTTCGGGGTTAGTAAATGCTCCAATCTTTGTGTGCTTCTCCTACTCCAGACTCAGAAAGGGGTAAGAGCCAAAAACACCTCATCTCATCAGAGTGAAGTGAAGGTGCACATAATGCCTGCTGCAGTCCCACAGCCACAACTGAGACAGGGCTCAGTTCCCCTCTTTCTTTAACCCTCTGATCCTTCACAGGCACGACCAGCCATTTCAGAGATGGCGAGAAACACCTTGTGACACAAATGAAGCCAGATCTCAATACCAACAAGCCCTGAAGCTGGCTCCAGAGACAGCCTGTTGTTGGCTGAGCTGAGACCTTTCCTCCCACCTCCAAGCGCTCAGCAGATCTGCTCCATCTCAAATATTACCTGGGACTGCAGGGACCTACTTTCCCCAGGCTATCTCCACAAGCTCCAAAAGGACAGGGAGACAAACAGCTGACTTCTCGCATGGAAAAATTTTCCTTTCCAAGCCAGCCCCAGCCTTGGACAACTCTCTGCTCCGACAGTTCAAGAGCAAGGACTTGCTTTAATTTTCTGCTCACTAGAGCCCTTAATCTGTCCTCTTGGTGCAAATGAATGCATAAATTGCACAAGGCAAAGGTAATGCTCTGTCATGTGAGTGACGCCTCCCCATGGCCCCAAAACACCACCTCCTGAGTCCGCACGGGGCGTGTGCACATGGGTGTGGATGATAAGGAGAAAATTTGCATACCATTCCTTGTTGCAACATCAGCAGTAATCTCTCCTTTGCAATAAATTATTTACCTCCCCATAGGTCATGTTGGCAGCATGTTTTCAGAGTTCCTTGTCTCCTTGGGCCATGATGCTATATCCCGAGTGTCCGACGGGGCATGGCCGAAACCTGGCTCTGCTGACCACAAGAGGTGGGGATGGCAGAACCTCCACCGTTCTCCCTGTCCTGCTTGTCTGTGTCTCGGCTCAGGACATGTGTTAGGGGTCAGCATGTTGTAGGTATGCTGTGCCTGCCTTGTCCCCTGCTTCTCCTGACCTTGACGTGCCATCATAGTTCTTTGGCTTGACCTCAGACTTGCCTCCCCCCTGCAGACTTGGCTGTGGTCACTGGGTCACAAGGCTGACCCCAGTTATGGTCACCAGACCTACTCTGCTCTTGCCTGGGGAGCCTACAACTGCCTTTTTTACTGGTGAGGGCACTGCCCTGCCTTGCCATGCCATCACCTGCTCCTCTGCAGCCCACCCCTGCTGCCCCCAATGCGTGTGGCCTTTATGGGTCATAGGGACATCCTGTGCTCAAGTGTCCTGCTCACCAGATATTCCTCCAGCTGCATGGATGCCCAAGGTCACACCAATGCCAAATCCCAGATTGATGCTCAGATGCTGCCCAAAGTCTCCTCTTCCTAATACCACTTGTGCCACAGAAGACAAGCCGAAGACCTAGTGCATGGGGAAAAAAAAAAGAGAGAAAGGAATTTTAAAAGTAGTGTTATTGCTGTGGTGGGCTGAGCTGCTTCGCCGCTTTTTATGCAATACTAACAGATTCCCAAAGACAGGAAGGCTCTAAAGTGCCCATGGTCAAAATGAATTGAGCGGATAACTGGTTTATTCCTCACTGGTGACCATCAGACCAAACCAGATACTCTGGTCAGGGCCGGGTACAAGGAAGACAAACCCCAGACACCCACACTGAGGTCCGAGACTTGATTGGGATCACTCGCACAGCCATAGTATGGGCATCTGCACCTGAAACCAGGCTCATGAGCCAGGGCAGCATCACCACAGACCACTCGGACACAGTGCCCGAGACGGATGGAACGAGGTAAGCAAATTCTTGTTGTCTTTCCTTTACTGGTGTGCTATTAATTGACTTAAGAATGTAATTTGGGCCGCACACAGCTATTTGCTGAAGTCTACTCTAATTTTGATAACTGTTTCCAGTGGGAAACAAGAAAGGAAATTTTGGGTTGACTTTTCCTTTCTTCACATACACTTTCAATTTGAAAACAACCAAAGTTTCAGTATATTTTTAGGGACTAAAGGGAAATTGGGCGGGGG